ATGTCCTTAGCTCCGCCATCTCCAGGTCCTCTCTTATGCGTTGATTTCTGTCGCGGTCTCTCCTGGTCTTTTCAGCAGCTCCCCGCAGAAACTTCATCTCGGCTGCTGTCACACGGCTAACTTATTTGTCCAGCATAATCCAGCTTTTGCTTTCATACGTGAGGGTTGGAAGGTATATGTGGGAGGACTTGTATATGTGGCTTATTGTTTCCTTGCCAATTTCCCTGTGTGCTACTAAACTGTTGCTGATAGGATAATATACGTGATTGGCTTTGGATATCCTATTCGCTACTTCTGGTTCAATCTTCCCCTTGTTGCTGATAGTTGTACCCAAATAGATGAATTCTTCCACAACTTCAAGTACCTCTCTGCTACAGATCAGCTGTACGTCCTCTTGTTTATCTCTTGATATGACTAGGACTTTGCTTTTGGAGCTATTGATAATCATACCTTTCCGGAGGAGTTCTTCCTGCCATTCTAAAAGGGCCTGCTGCAGCTTATCTTTCGTGTCCACAATAAGAAGATATCATCGGCATATAGTAGACTTTGGACAATAATATTCCGCAAGTTCCATTTCCCGACGGTCGTCCAAGCAGTACGAAGCTTACAAATTTTATGGATTTCATCCATAAATATGATGAACAAGAGGAAACTTAGGCTGTCTCCCTGCCTAACTCCTCTCTCCATGGGAAAAGGCTTGGACTCTCTACCATTAATCCTTACAATTCCTATTCCGATCTAATTGCCGTGATAAGATCAGCTGGAACATTTTCTGCCGTCAAAGCATCCCATATTTATTGTCTTGGAGCAGAGCCGAATACTGCTTTGAGGTCCAGAAATGCCATATATATATTCTTGTCTCTGTCCTATGCTTTCTCTGCGATGCCTCTTAACACGAAAATGTGATCATGAGTCTGCCTCCCCGGAAGAAAGCCTGCTTGTTCGCTCTCAATTTGGTTTTCAACTATGAGCCTTAATTTTCTTTCTAAGATTGAGGAGTATAATTTGTAAGCCACTGAAAGTAAGCTTATGGGCCTATAGTTTTCACAATCTGTGGAACCTCCCTTTTTATGAATAGGGACAATTACACTTAACTCCCAATCCCTTTGGACTATCTTTGTATCCTATACTTTTTGGAGGAATTGTTGGAAAAATTTAATTAATTCCTGTCCTCCAAATTTTAATTATTCGGGGGCTATGCCATCGCTTCCCACAGCTTTACCTATTTTAATATTTTGGATGGAATATTCTATATCGTCTTCCTCAATGATTTCTAGACTTTCCAGAATATTATTTTCTACTAGATGTTCTTCTGTGTCCTCCTCCTGAGAAGTGTCCCTGATAGAACTCCTTCCACCGTTCAAGAATTTTCGCTTCTTTGGTGACCATGCTGCCACTAGAGTCTTTGACATTTCACACTGGCTTACTTATTTTTCCTCTTGATAGCTTTACTTTACTCCAGAACTTCTTAATACTTTCCCGGTGATCTTCATCGAGACTTTTTCCGAATCTTTCCCATGTCTCTCTTTTCGCTTGCCGGACTGCTATTTTGCATTGATTTCTGGCTTGGTGGTATTCGTCTAGTTTTCCGGTTGTTTTCTCTTGAAGATAAGCTTTCCACGCTTTCTTCTTTGATTGAATTAAACATCGTACTTCCTCATTCCACCACTCTGTGAGCTTAAAAAAAAAACTCAAAAATATTTAAATATCTTAAAATCTCTCACAGGAGTCTCGTGGGGAACACATCCTGTAAATATGATTATATTATATAAATCTATAAGATGGTCAATTATTCATTATGCGTGCAGGATCTATCAAGAAATTAAACCACCATTAATTCACAAATTGAATACTCTTCAAAATTTTGTTCTGCGTCTGATCATCAGAGCCTTCACAACAACTTCTATAAATGCACTGCTAGCCAAAGATAGAGGAACGCCTCTATCTTTGCGTAGGAAATGTCTAAAAAAGAAACTTTTTATTAAAGTTTACTCTATTGGAAGGTTGTGATCTCAACTGGTCTCTCAGTATTTGCCTATTTTTTAGCGGAATCTCTCTGATTTTTCATTAAATACATTTTTCACGTGGACATCAGAGCATTTGATAATTGCTGTTTGATAATTTTTTTTTTATTTTTACATATATATATTTTTTCTCTTTCTTTCTTTCTTTTCTTATGGTACACGGTTTAGTTACCAAATGATGTCCAGTAAGGTGCCGAAGAGGACTCGGTCAGACGGAGTTAGAACAGCTCGTGGTTCACCAGCCAAACAAAGTACTCGTCGCTGCCTACGAGAAACATCTCCAACAACAAAAGTGAACACTTCAGAACCAGAACCTCAGCCACAACCAGGAACTTCTTCCTAAGAAACGATCGAAGAATCCCTTTTATTTATTCCAAAACCCTACCAAGAGCTTCAAAATGACCGAGACGTAGTGGAGTCTGTAGCTGTACCCAAAGAACCAAGGCCTCCTCCGATATTTGTTAAAAACATCCAAAATTTCCAGTTGTTCTGCACCCAACTAAATAAAATCTGAACTGGCAGTTATTCATGCCTTATCAGGACCAACGATACAAAAATAACAACAGATACTGCTGAAGCCAACCAAATAATAGTGAGGTACCTCTCGGAAACGAATGCGAATTTTCATACATACCAGCTTAGGCAGGAGATATCGTTAGAGTAGTAATAAGAAATTTACACTCCTCAACCCCGACTGAAGTGATAAAAGAAGAAAGATCTAGCGGCGCTTGATTTCAAAGTACGTCAGGTGACCAACATTCTGAAGGAGAATAAGCAGCCTGGTGTAAAAAATCTCTAGCCCAAACTGCATTTCTTTTTATATAGGAGAAACCAAAAACTATTTTAAAAAACGAATATATTAACACAAATACAGCATCTCCACACGAAACCCGTTCGCATCGAAACTTGCCGAACACGCCATAACCCTCAACCACACATTTCATTTTGAAAACCCAACCATACTTGCCACAGTTCCCAATCACCAAAAACAAATTAATTATTGTAACAAATACAAAAACAACTACTTTCTGAAGCTGTATTAATCAATTTGGAAAAAATAACCCGGTAAACTACAAAGTAGATAAAGAAAAGATCTGCAACACATATTCGAATATTTTCTGCCTCCTAAAACAAGTTTATAATCATTAAAATTTTGTTTTTCATTTTCTCCATTTTCCCGCCAACTTACATAGGCAATTACACCTACGTTTATTATATATATATATATATATATATATATATATATATATATATATATATATATATATACACACACACATAATGTCCATTCTCAATATAAATATATACTATAAACAGACACAGATATGTTTATACTTATACTATTAAAACTATGTAATCCTTAATATAATACATACTTCTATTGTGATTAATATTGTTCTTTTTAAAATACTGTATAATATATTGTCCTCCGTATGTTTTCAATCCATTATAATTGTCTTTATTATAAATATTATTTGGCTACCCATAGTATACATTTAATCAAACTATGTTACATTTATATTGATTGGCACCTCTTGCTTATGTTCATTTCATTACTAGCCAATATTCACAATTTTGTAACCATAAGAAACAACGCAAATCTTGTACACTTCTAAAATATTTAGTCATCAAACTATTTAAATTCTACTAACAGAAATGCTACTTCCCTCCCCCTCTGACTATGTTTACCTACCTTTTGCTATCTGAAAAAGGACAACTGGGAAATCCTCCCCCGACCTTTTCACTTACCTACCAAATGTGTCAGTACTTGAAAGCCTTCAGAGCTCGAACCACGGTTAGTAAGGGAAAATATTACAAATTTTTATAAATACATCATATATATTATTTTTAATTTGTATAACTTTTTACATATTTCATTTTTAATATTGTGTATTGTAATAATAGTTAAGATTCATGTACCATCAATGACTTTAGTTTATTATTTACCATTATCGGTCGTATAATATTATATCTCTGATTGTATTTTAAAATTTTCAGCCCTCAAGATGAAACACATGTTTGGGTTGAAACGTTGGCACAAATAAAAAACATTGTATAATGACTGCGTCCTGACTATTTATCACCCATGATATTTAGAACAGTCGACTAGCTTCCTTCAATAATCAATTCTACAGTTTTATTAATATCTCTGAGTGTTGTTGATAGTTCAGGTCTTAATCCAAATCTATGGAGGTGTGCGATGAAGAATGCTCATTCTTGGAAAATGTGACTTATCGTCAAGCTGATGTCTGTTACAAATGGCATCTGATATACTGAACTATATTGTAAATTTATGGGTTGATTACAAAAGTTACATCGAAGTCTCCTACAATAGTATGACATCAAGATCATGGATCAAGGTCTTCTGGCAAGTGTGTGACAACAACAATGTAACTGCAAGAGTGATTTGTCCTGAGGACCACGGGGCTAATATACCCTGGAATAGTAGGGGAGAGGGGTTGAAAGAATTCTATGAGATCTAGGAACCCTAAGAAAGAGCTGGAGTTATGAGAAGTTATTAACGATTAATATTCTTATGCTTTAGTATTGATATGAGGTCCGTGAGAAAGGGACATTTTGCTGAAATCTGTCATTGTTCTCTAAATCTTGATAATGGATCTTGGTGTGTTAGTTGGTGCCTTTTAGATTACTAGTTCTAAGTTATCAGAGTACCCCTGTCAAAGGACCCAAAGGCGCTATGTGAATATTTAATATATGATTCACCAATTGGCACAGTTAATAAACTCAATTATTTAAATAATAGTGAAATTATTATTATTGATATTATTATGACATTCGGTGCTACGTTCAGAGAAAACTTTTTTTGGCTTTAGCCTCTGCAGTTGATCAAAAATATGGAAAAAGTTTATCATGACTTCACGTTGTCTAGATACAGGATTAAACTTGGAGACCTCAAAACTTGGTAGCTACGGGCCTCACAAATCGCATTCCACCACACTGCATCCCCGTACTTGTCTGTAGTTTATATATTAAATGGGAAGTCAATTGAGAATAAACAAAACTTTTTTATATACAAACTTTATAATTCATCCTCTCTCTTTGTGCGCGCTCGCGTGAGATGCGAATGTGTATTATAAATATAAATATTTTTTATTGTAATTTTTGTTTTGTAGAATAATAATTCAGTATCTTTACAAAGAGGTACGTTGTGTGCATCCTCAGTTTCAAAGGCATCCATATGAACAATAGTCCCTGCAAAATTCATAATAGGCGAATTAGAAGTATAGAAAAACAATAGTAGTAAAAAAATAAACAACTTAGAGCCGTGCTTTAAAGCAAAAACATTTTCATACCAATGGATTTATATGTCTATTGAAAATTAAACTATGGTAGTTACGCTTGTCTTGGCTAATTTTTTACTTTACTTTTATAAAACATGAATCAAATGAATAATATTTCTTAAAATCCATTGATTGTCCTTAATGTCAGTATAAGTGTGTAGTGTACTGTGAAAGGACAATAACAATACACGCCCTATGGTCAGCTCCCCTAGGTGATAATAGAGTCGTTCTGCTGGCCTAAGTGAATTAGCAGACCTGATGTAGGGCCTATGGACCTTCCTGCTGGGCCAATCACCCGTATGGAAGTATTAAGGATTCATAGAAGTCAAAGAAGCTCGGAACTGGACTGACAAATTGGAAACAACATGGCAGGGAAAAGGACTTGAAAATTAGTACTTGGAATATAAAAACCATCGTGGGTAAGGAAGTTGACTTCGTGGAGGAGATCATAAAATACAGGATAGACATTCATGGTATATCTAGAGTGAAAAGGAAAGGAATTGGAGAAGTGCGTATGGATTAGGGTTACACTCTCATTTATTCTGGGGTACCTAAAGGGGAACATGCTAAAGAAGGAGTCGGCTTTGTTATTAAGGAAGAATTACACAAGAAAATATAAGAATGGGAGGCCGTCTCGCCTAGGATAATAACAGCCAATTTCCACCTATCTCCGGGTAAAATCACTATAGTACAAATTTATGCTCGAACTCAAGATTCCTCCGTGGTAGAAAAGGAACAATTTTACTCGGGTCTAGAAAGAATAACAAATATGTTATTCTTTATGAATAACTTAGGTTTGTGTAGGTATTGAATAACTTAGGTTACTAACAAGGATGAATAGGAATATTACCTGTTGTGGAGATTTCAATGCAAGGACCTAAAGGAATTTCAGAAATGAAAATGGAATAATGGGAAAACATGGAGGTGATAAGAATAATAATGAAAATGGGTAAAGATTGATAGATTTTGGCTTTGATAATAACATGCTTACTGGTAACTCCTTCTTTCTCCATAAGAGGGTTCATAAAATAACTTTTTCAGCACAGGAAAAAAACAGTATTATCGATTACTTTATATTTGAAGAAGATATCAGACGCTGGTTCACAGATATTAAAGTGATCAGAGGTGCTGAAATAGACACGGATCATTTGCTTTTGGCCGCAGACACACAGATCATGAAGCCTAGAAACATGACATTCAAAGCATACAAGAAGATTAACGTGAGAGCTCTTGATTCGGTGGAGAAAAGACAAGCATATGAGGCATGTCTATAAGCAAAACTGAAAAAGTTAGACCGTAATGGAACTGTGGAAGAAATCTGGAAGTTTCTAAAATATAGCATACTTGAATCAGCAAGATCAGTATGTGGAGTGAAGAAAATAAGCACCAGATATAATCGCACAAATCGGTGGAGAGAAGAAGTCAAAGAAACAATACACAGAAAGAAAAAAACATGGAAGGCATACCTGATGAACCATACGCCACAGGACTGGGAAGAGTACGTTAAGTGGATGAATGGTACTAAGCGTGTTATTCGAGAGGCCAAGGAAAAGTTATGGGATGAAATAGGAAAAAGTCTGGACAATGACTATTAGAAAAATATAAAGTATTACTCATCACAGTCCTCTGATCTCAGACAACCTCCAGAACACGAGGAAGAGAACAATAAAGTGGCTGAATATGATACTATCTGGTAGGATGATATAGAAAGGACTTTGGAAAAACTGAAGCTAGGCAAAGCAGGAGGCAGAGATTGCATTTTCCCAGAGTTTATTAAGTATGGAGGAAATGGAATGATAAAATCACTGCAAGCACTTTTTCAGAAGATATGGGATGATAGGATTATTCCGAAGGACTGGGAATACAATATCATAGTGCCAACTCATATGAAAGATAGCAAAACTAAATGTGGCAACTACAGGCCTATATGCGTATCCCGAGTGACCTACAAAATTTACACCATAATATTAGAAAACAGGTTAAGACCACTGATAGAACCAGAATTAGAAGAAGATCAGTCTGGTTTCCGACCAGGGAGGCAAACGTAAGACCACATATTTGCTCTCAGAAATATTATAGAAATGGCATGGGATTGAAATTGAAGTATATATATCGCTTTCTTAGAGTTGAAAGCTGCCTTCGACTCAGTACCCCGATGTGAAATATGGAGAGCACTTAAAAGAAAGGGTATTACCAAGGCCCTTTTGGCAGCAATAATAACTACATACAAAAGCCCCAAAGTAATAGTGCCTATCTGTGGCCGAGAGTCCAAGGCATTTCCGATGGAGCGAAGTGTGAAACAAGGAGACAGCGTGAACCCAATATTGTTTCTCACCTTTATAGACGAAACCTACAAAGTATGCAGAAGAAGAACTGCTGTTGGTATGTGAAACATGAGGGTTGTTCAAGTGCACGCGTTGCTATAAGCAGGCGATATAGTGCTGGTGACCGACTCTCAAGAAAAACTGCAACAGGCCATTATAGAATGGCAGGAAGAACTCGCTCGTAAAGGAATGAGTATCAACAGCCGCAAGTAAGTCATGACTGTAGCAAGAGATGAGGGAGGTGTGGGAAATATAAGAATGACATGCAATGGAGAAGAGCTGGATAATGTAGACTACTACACAAACCTTGGAACAATTTTAAACAAATCTGAGAAAATAGAACAAGAAGTTTCCAGCAGGATAAAGAAAGCAAACAGTATATTTTGCCAGATTTGCAATACAATTGTGGGAAAGGGAGAGGTAGGAAGGAATATCAAACTCCACATCTATAAAGCGAGTATCTCCCTACATTATTATATGGCAGCGAAAGCTAGGTCAGCCAAGACAAACACTTAAGCAGGATTACGGCTGCTGAAATGAAATTTTTAAGAAGAATTTTGGGAAAAACCAGGAGAGACAGAGTGAGGAATGAAAGAATAAGAGAGGAACTCCTGATACCCTCACTGAAAGCAACTATGGAATGCCGGCAACTTCGATGGTATGGGCACATGTGTAGAATGGAAGAAAGCAGAGTATCAAGGAAATGCTTGGAAGCGAGGCCAACTGGCAGGAGACCGCAGTACAGGCCTAGAAGAACATCTGGAACATTCAGCGATGAGGTGAGGATAGAGGAAAAACCCTAGGTCAGATGAAGGAATTGGCAAGAGGAAGGGATGTATGGTCGAAGTGGCTGGAGGCTCCTCCACGCTGAAAGGCACACAAGGAGGAAGAAGAAGAAGAAGAAAATCCATTGATAGAAAATGATTATACTGTTAAACGAAGAAGATTTGTTAAAATGAAAATAATAACGTTTTCGTTTAATTGAAAAAACAAATTCAATACAAGTATGTATCAATTAAAAAAAAATAAGAAAAAAAGATGACCCCCTTGTTAAGTAGGGTCCATTGCGATTTTTCAAGCCTTTAGATGCAAATTTTATAAATTAATGAAGTTTTAAGCGTTTTGGGCGGTTTTCCTTACTTTACTGTTTTGATCTTCATAATACAGCCAAATTAAGATGTAAATACCACTTTTTTTAACGCAAAGCTTCCGAATTGAGGAAACAAAAAAATAATTTTTTTATATACAATTTTTCTAAGAAATATAACTTTTATTCGAAATATGGACAATGGTAATAGTGAGAAAAGAATTAATCCACACCATATTTAGAGGAAATATAAATAAATAAAAGCAAAATAATCACTAAATAATAATCAAAAAGTATATACAATAATTAAAAATAAAATAAACTTAAAGATAAGTCAAGTAAAATAAAACACACATATCTATACACTATTTACAAGCCAAGAAAACTCCAAACCAAGCTTGTTCCTTCACCTATAGAGGACTCCAGGAGATCCTTGCGATACTTAAATTTTGAACTAGGAAGATTGTAAGAATTGGTGGAGCTAGATAGTGGTTGTGTAAGGAGATTTGGATAATATTTAAGATTCTGGTGAAAGTTGGTGAATTATTCTGCGATAAGTTCTAAGACATATAGAATATTAAGTTTTTGGCTGGAACTCAAAACTTGGTTTGAACTATTGTTCGAAAGATTTTGGACTGGAAGAATTGTTAGTGTTTGATATTTGAAAATATAACGATCCTCCACAGTTCTACAACCCAGTAATCCGTTGGTCGTTGAGATGGATTTCACTCAGAGATGGGCATAATCTTAATCAATTTTTACATGGTTACAACTGAAAATAAAACTTAATGACCATGCCAATTTTATACTTGATACAATAGCACTATAAATATAGCAAAAGAATGAAACGATTACCTGATTACCTGATTACAATCGTAATCATAAACCTGATTACGATTACAATCTTGTAATCACGCAATCAAAATCACTGTGATCGTAATCACGTAATCAAAATCACTGTAATCGTAATAAAAAAAATCAAATATCACGATTTTCCTCTGTTTAGAGATAGGCTAAAAGGAAAAAAAGTAAAAACATTTTCTATTTTCTTTCATCTATTGGATGCACTTTCTATGATAATACCGTCGATTTAACATTTAACATTTTCATAATTTTCTTTCGCTTTCCCTCTTTTATCTCGTGAATGAAGGATCAGTTTTTTACCGTTTAACTAAGTATTTTCTGACTATGTAGAGGTAGGTAAATGGTGTAGAAATTTTTCAGAATTTTCATAAGCTTTTCCTTTTTTATTTCGTGAATGAATGCTCAGTTTTCCACCGTTCCTTTCATTTTTTAGATGTTTAGAGGCAGGCCAATGGAAAAAAGAGTGGTGGTAATAATTTTTATTTGCTTTTTCTCTTTTATCTCGGAAATGAAGGATCAGATTTACACCGTTTCATCTGTTTTTTGGCTATGTAGAAGTAGACGAAAACAAAGAAATAGAATAAAAAATGTCCGAATTTTCTTTCACTTTTCCTATTTTATCTCGGGATAAAGGAT